ATGCTAAATATGACAACATGCTAAATATGACAACATGCTAAATATGAAAACATGCTAAATATGAAAACATGCTAAATATGACAACATGCTCAATATGACAACATGCTAAATATGACAACAAAGTTGCTAAGTTGGCAACTCAGCCACAGATATGTTGTTCCTGTTGCAAAGTTCTGTAGTCTGAATTTTGAAATGTCATTGGGTTTTAAAATGGACAGTGATTTTAAATTAGAGTCCCAGATTGGAGCGGTGGTCAAGACCAGTTTTTATCACCTCAGACAGCTGGCTAAGGTAAAGACCATTCTCACAAAACAGCAGCTGGAAACAGTAATCCATGCCTTCGTCACCTCTCGGCTGGATTACTGCAACGCTCTTTACCTTGGAGTCAGCCAGTCCTCCCTCAGACGCCTCCAGTTGGTCCAGTTGCTGCTGCTCGGCTTCTAACTGGAGTTCAAAAAAGGAAGCACATCACCCCCACTCTGGCTTCACTCCACTGGCTGCCTGTTCATTTTAGAGTTCATTTTAAGATTCTTTTATTTGTTTTTAAAAGTTTAAATGGTCTTGCTCCATCCTACCTCTCTGAGCTGCTTCACCCATACTCTCCTGCTCGGTGCCTCAGATCAGCTGATCAGCTGCTCCTGGAGGTGCAGAGGTCTAAGCGGAGGCTCAGAGGGGACAGAGCTTTTTCTGTTGCTGCTCCAAGACTGTGGAATGATCTCCCTCTTCCATCAGACGAGCCCCTTCACTGTCCAGTTTTAAAACTCTTTTAAAAACACATTTTTACTCCCTGGCTTTTAGCACACACTGAATTTGATCTGCACTGTTTTTATTATTTTTATTGATCTTAATGTTTTAACAACTGTTTTTATGTGTTTAAATGTTCTTGATTTATATGTACAGCACTTTGTGGCAGCTGTGGTTGTTTTAAAGGGCTTTATAAATAAAGTATTATTATTATATTATTATTATTAAAACCACAGCGAAGCATGAACACTTGAATATTTAATGTTATTTGATTTATAACATTATCATATATATATCA